AAAATCACAAACCTTGTAAATGTAAATAAGCAGATTTATACCAAATCTTACTTTGCCTATACTAGTTACTTTTAACACCAGGAAGAAGGAAACACCATTAGATTTCCCTTAAATAGCACTTTTATTAATTAGTGAAACAACAAACCTTGTAAATTTAAAGAGTGAGACTCAGCTGCAGTTTAGGACATTTACATTTAATTCTCAAAAACCAATTCTGTAAACATACAGAAGCAAACTAATTAAAAAAAACTACAGAAGAGAACTGTAAATAAAGCTTTGCAGTCAGTCTCAGTAGAGGCAGTCAAAATGTTGTAGAAGTTCCTTAAAGAAACAAAATTTAAAGTAGGTAAGATATGGATGTCTTCCATGAAAATGTAGTGTTTTCACTATGTATATGTATTTTGTCTCACCAAGCCACAGTCTTTACTTTTATGTCTCACAGTAAAAACTGTTTCTTTTCTAGTCTGAGATATTCTTTATCTTTGAAACCACTATTGCTGAAATCAGTATCTCAAAACATGGCTCATGGCAAAAAAAGGTAGCAATTTTAGACCTGAGTGCAGGTTTGTTTCAAATGCACATGATGTTACAATCAAACTACAGATATTTCCACTGCTGTGACTTATTCGACAAAACATTTCTGCTTCACTGAAGCAAAGAATGCATTTATTTCCTGGAACGTGTAGAGGCTGGTTTCCCAAGCTCCACATGGAGTGGTATCCCACCCTCATCCTGTCCCCCCCAGTTTCCCATGCTCCTTCCTTTATATCATGAAGACAATCAGGAATAGTCTTGGAGAAGAAAAATGAGTTTGGCTGGACATACTGTGCTATTATTATTTTTTTTTTAATATAATAGTGCAGATAATTAAAAAAAAAAAAGGGACAATGTTGTTCCTTTGGTGGTGGTTTGGCTGTAAAATGCTCTTGGCACCTAGGTGTTCATTTCCTCTCCTCGACTCCCACAGTTTATTCCAATTTATCTGTGTATACAGCCAAATTCTAGACTGAATTTGCACATAACAGGGCAACACCAATGACTGGAGACTAGTGCAGAAAGGAACAGTAATGTGGAAGTGCTAGGAACTATTTTTTAACACAGCTCAGAGAAGTTCAATGTCACAGGTTCTTCTGCTTAGCAGAAAGCTCGTCCAGATGCTGAAGGATTCTGGTGATTCTGATGCTGTTCTGCATTTTGAATTGAACAATACAACAGGAATCACTTGTAGGAATAGCTGACATAGCCAAGCTGATAAAATAATTCTATTGCTTTAATTTTAATCTGCCATCTTCTTATGACCAAAAGAAGATAGAGAATATGTTTTCTAATGTTTTTTGTTTAAGACAGACTAACTGAAAACATAATGCTCGCTTAAATAAAGCAATATTTGAAAAATCTTCTGCTCCTTACCCCAGCCTTTCCCACATCTAACCTTCAGTTGTGCCACCACAAGTGTTTTGGGGTTAGCAAACTCGTTAGATTTAAAAATAACCTGAAGGGAGTTATTTTAATTATTTTTATATCATGGACAGATTCATAATCTCACTTACTGAAGAGTTTTATTAACAGTTTAAGCATAATCATTGGGGCAGCACAACACTGGCCTGAGCAGACAGGAGAGTGACCTCTGAAAATTGGTGCTGAGAAAAAAGAATCACTGAACTGTATCTACATCACTTTTTCTCTGCTGAACAGATACCAGTTTGGGATAGTCTATGCTACTTTCCATTTCAGAAATTACATCTTTTATTGGGTTTTCATTCTAGTTCCCAGTTCAAAGGACTTCTTTTCTGTCATTCAGTTGAGACAAAAAAGTCTTCAGGTGAGAAAAATGTCTTCAGTTTAGAAAGGGAATGTAAACAGTAATTTTAAAAACATGCTTTCATTTCTAATCTAATGTTTAGATGCTCACCCTATATATAGGGCTGGTATTTACAGTTTATTTACCTGAACTAAGTAAATTAAAATATAACTGTATCACTGTGTATTTAATTTTCTGACATCCTGAAAACACACATAAGTCATTGTGTCCCCTTTAAAGTTTACACAAAGGTGATAGCAATTCTCCTGGCCTCTAATACTCTCTTTACTTGTTCATTATAGAATCCTTTCAACTTTGCCTCTAGCAATTCACAAACTCATTTTTTCATGAGTAAATATTTAAACCAGATCTGTTTTAAAATGTCTACAGAAAGAAAGAAGATAAAAGCAAGTATTTAGATTTATAGCTAACTGGGTAATAATCAACTGCTACTAGTGCTGAAAGAACTTCATCCATGTCTCAGTTTTAACATGAACCTTTAGTCCAGGTAGGGGGGCTGTGAGTTTTTGTGTCCTTATGGTAAAGCTCTTAAGCAAACAAAAGATTGCCACACACCTCACAGGACAATTAATTCACTGAAACATGACATTTAAACTTTTCCTTTTCATCTGTAATATAACAGTTAGCTGCACTAATATTTGACTTTCTGCTTCACAGTGGAAAGAAAGAAGGATAAGAAAGGCAGAGAATTAGAACTTAGTCCTCTGATCACGGAGAACATGCCCCCATACATCTAATGGTCTGTCTCCATTCAACTTCAAGTAATGCAGTCTTAAATATCTTAACTATCAAAGTCTGTTATTGAAATAAACAGCAAACATTTTCAACATTAGTTGGAAAAAGCTTGCTTTCACAAACCATTTCTTACACTTCCTTGTAGAATCATATTTTTGACCTAGTCTTAAAACTGAGATATTTCCACCTATTTGATGTTAAGTACAACTCAAAACAGATTTCAGTTCATTTACGTACTATTGTGGGAATAACATCCTAGGCTGCTCTGTGGAAGGCATGTATGCTCTCGTGAACTGAGAGTTTCTCTTAGAAACTTGAAGAGCCAATATAAAAATTCCAAACAAAAGCCTTCTGAAAACCACAGTGACATACAGTAATCGTACTTCATGGTAGGATTTCCATTATTTAAGATTTTAATGGCTGGTTAGTATGTAAATAAAGAACATTTTAATGATTTCAGACTTTTTATTATTGCTTCTGTAAAAGCTGGAAATACTTGCCAATTATCACAACCTGGCACCAGAAATATGAAAAACAAGCAATTGCTAACACTTCTGTTATTTAGTCAAGGGCTTTCTCATAGCCATGAGATTAGAGACAAACAGTAGTACGAGTCACTAACTACAGACAAAGCTGAAAGATAAGGGAGGTAATTTCTTCTTTTTCCCTGTCTTCAATTGTGCCAGAGAACAGAATTTATGTTTGAATAGCAGGTTTTCTTAGAAGAAGGGAACAAGGAAGAAAAAGAAGAAAAACTGCATAAAATTAATTAGTAATTGTTCTGATCTAGGATCTCTAATTCTACTGTTGCACTTCAGATTTCACTTTCTTTTTTTGAAGATTAAAAAGAGAGTGAAAACAAATTAAGGGGATAATACTTAATTTGATCAATTGGGTTGATTAAAATAAACATACAGATGAAAATGCCTGTCTGGGTTCAGACTCTGTCCAGAAATACCTTCTGCAAGTCACTGAATTGAAGTTATTTGCTCCAGAGTAAGTCAAGATAAGCATTTCATTCTTGGCATCAAATCCTATAGTGTTTGCTATGAAGAACATACTTTCTTTAGACATTTAAACTTTATATTACAAAAATAGTTGAAAAATTTTGAATTTACTTTCTAGGCTTACATTATACATGGGCAGGAGTCACTGCTGCAAACACTGTAACTTACTTGACTTATTCTTTTTACAGAAATCCAATGTACTAGTTTTCAATGTCACAATCTTTAATAAAAATAAATTATTCTGATTCAGAGGTATATAATGAAATTGTCTCAAACCATAAGAGAAATGTATAGGAATTATGAAAAGTTTTAATAGTAAAGATAGTGTCTGAGAATCTGATTTTGTAAATTTATTCTCCAAAAGGCACTAAAACTAGAATGGAAGCAAAACAAGAAAGTCTGACTCACTTGAAAAATTACTATCTAAGCAATATATGAAATGCTGAAGAATTATTTCATTAAATTTAATAAAATACAAAGTTATTTAAAAGTATGATTTAATGCATCATGGCATATACTAGGTTATACTGTAATTTAGCACAATTTAAAAAGAAAGAATGTTTTTAAGTAACAATGTATCCTTACTAAAGTAGCAGGAAGCATTTCAGGAACTTGACAATTCATTCTTTCTATAAATAATTGTTTCTGCTTGGAATATGGGAAAAATCTCCCAAAATATAACTTCACTTTTACAGAAACAAACAAGTAAATCCAAGGTTTTCCACAAGATTATGTTTAATCAATTTTATTTTTCATATTATGAAGTAGACAGCAATAAATGCAACAAGAATAATTTACTTCTTGTATGGAATTAAAAACTTGATGGTATGTAGACCATCAGTAGCCTTGGGAGAAGTAGTGAAAAGGCTTCTGTTGCAGAATAAAGAGGTTGTCTCCTTTTAAAGAGATTCTAATTCTCTCATTGTCCAAAACCAAAGAAATTGATTACTTATTTCCTTCTTAATGTATATAGTACTATATTTATCTATATTGTTCTCTCTCACTGCAACCTTAGTATAAAAGTTATTTTTAAAGGTATCAACAAATGACCCCTTTTGGGTGTCAGAAAACTATTCATACTCGCTGAGGCCTACCTGACAGTAGGCAGAGGGTCTAGGAAGACTGCCTTTCTTTTGGAATTAACACAAACCAGAAATTAAAGTTAATATGACAAAATCAGAAGTGGACTCAAGACTCCCTAATCATGTGGTATGACAGAAATGTTCATCCTCAAGTGACTGGTCATATGATGGAACTTTGCAATGATAGCGTTGGACCTGCTGAAATGCATTAACAAAATAATTTACTAACAAGAAAATGAGCCTTTAAAATAATTCTTCATAACTGTGACTGTAATTTTTTGGCAAGCTTTCAAGTCAAAAACATTCAAAGGAAAAAAGTTATTCCTCCTGCAACAGGATGAAAGGAGCACTTACAGTGAGGCTCATAGGGAGGAGGAGGATCTCCACAAGGAACACACTCCATGTCTTGAAAGCCTCCAAGCTTAGTCTTCCTATAAAATCTAGAAGACAAAGGAATAAAAAAAAAAAAAAAAAAAAAAAAGCAGTTAATCAAAACTCGTTAGTTTCCTCACAAAATTAATCAAGTGTATTAACAAAATCCTCTAACTGCAAAATTTTGTCATTCTGTGTCCCAATGCAAACTATCAGCAAATAGAAGAAAATAAAAGTAAACCAAAGTACAGTAGATATTAATTAACAGTGCAGCAGTAGATCTAAAGTAAATTGAGGAAAAATTCAAAACCTGTTTGTTCAAATGCAGTCACTATAATTTTATATTCACGTAAGAAATAATTCTGGAGATTTCAGACAGAAATTAATATCCTGTTTTCCACATAGATCACAGGTAGTATCAAAAGTGGTTCTGAGTGACATCTAACACATGGGGCTGCACCTTCTTATACTGCAACTTAAACCAACATTAGTTACCCAAGTTTTACTAAGTGTTTTTAAATGAAAACACCTCGCTTCTGCCTTGAGAGGAAAAACTGTACAAGCTTCAACAATGTTCAGGAATTTGATAAAAAAAAAAAAGTATATTAAAAAAGTAAAATGTCTGAGATATATATATATATAAAACCAACATATGAACTTTTAAGCATCTCTAAAATATAGCCTGAAAATACAAAGGTTGTTAACAATTGCAAATTGGTTCTCATAACCTACTCTACCAATTAAACTACCAATCCATAGTTCAAAAAAGCATCAAAAATGTCTTTTAACAAATTCATGGCAGGTATTTATGATAGTGGAACTTAGCCACAATGTAAATAATAGCCTTTTAGGGATCTTAATACTACAGACAGAGAAGATTAGCAACACAGATCTGGGAGGACTGTAAAACAAACTAAGCACAGGTCCTGATTTATAACAGCAGTTTCAGCAAGTCTCCACAGTTACAATTTGTTCCAAAACAATTCTTTCAGATCCATTTATGATTCTCAGCCAGCTTCATGCTCTATGATTTCACCAACATGGTGAAGGAAATTCAGGAGCATAAACCACAGCCACTACTTTTGACCTAAATATATATGCATATGAGAATTATTAGGCATTGACTTTAAGAGGGGGGGAAAAAGCAAGCAAATGTGATCAGCCTTCAAGAAGGTAACTGTGGATGTTCACAAATGTTTAATAACAGTGAAGTTAGTTACCAGTAAAACCTGGTATTTTTAAGTATTTTGCTCAGGTGCTGTACAGACAATACTCATAGATCAGATAGGTAAGTATCAAACCATTTTTATAGATCGAGATACTTAAGACTGCAATCCTGAAAATATGTGGTCAGATCATACATTGCAGATTATTGGCAATGCCAAGATTAAAACTTAGGACCTTCGTACATACATAAAGGATACAAACATCCAGAAAATGAACAAGCAAATGTTAATGCAGATTAGTTTTGAATTTAAGTCTCATTTTCAGAAATGGACTTACCCTGGTAAACAGTCTCCACATAGTGCATTGCTGGTGGCAGAACAGTTGGTCTTCTGAAACCTGTTAACTAATGCACAATCCAGACAAGGCTTGCACTTCTGAAAGCCCCAGTCTTCCTTGAATCTGTTTGGCCTGCATGTCATGCACTGTGCATCCTCCCCATATCCAAAGCCACATTCCTGTAGGGATTAACAAGCAATAGTAAGCTATTCAGTTCCTGAAAGCATGAACAAGAGAATGCTGGGATAAAATGAAGACCTAGTGTAATTATTACTGAGAGTAGGTCTTTCTAGAGACAAAAGGCATCCTTTCAGCAAGTTCAAATGTGTCTTCCACTGCTAATAATCTCCCTTACTTCTATAAGTAATACTTAGTCATCCACTTTATTCATGAAACCACTGTGTATTTGAATGATAAAGGGCTTCAAGGACTCCCACAGTTTCATTATTACTAGCTTATGGTAGAATTATTGAGCTGTCTGTTTTTTAATTAGGTCAGTCATGTGAAAGTGCAGAAACTGGGACAAGTGAAGTATAAAGGCACTTACTCAGTTACAAAAACAGCAAAGAAGCACTTTGATATTAAAGGTTCATAGCTAAGGTGAACAAAGTTAATTGCTGAAGAGAGTGCACTGATCTTCAAAGGCTTAGAATTTCTGTTACCAAATAAAACAGAGCTGGTTAATGACCATCAGCTAGGCATGAAACATTGCTTAACCACTGAGAATTTCAGAAACTCAATCCACGTCAGTTCTAACAGTTCTTGAACTGTTGAAAAAGTTTAATAGCCCTGCAGAACCTGGAGGTTCTAGAAGTTCTATTTTATGTCACCTAAAAATATCTTACTGTGTTCAGTTTTACACTCAATTTCATTTATGCAATTGTAAGACTGTATACAAAGCTACATGATTACCACAGGAGACTGGAACCAGACTAACTTCTTTTAGGAGATTTTGCTCTTCCTAAGTCTATTTAGACTTTTTCATTGAATCTCATTATTCCTTAACACATTCTTTCTAAATACCTACTCTTTACTCTTTCTGTTTAGATCATTCAAACAGCAGTGTTATAGTATATATTATATAACTCAGTCAAACCATGTATATTTATATATTTTGATAAATCACTTGGAATCAGTCCCTCCCAAGTCCTAGTAAACTTTCAAATATAAGGCTTAAATTAACTTAATTATAAGTTTTCCTTTCCAGACTACCTTTGAAGTTTCTGATTAAAAAAAAGCAAACACCAGGAAATAAAGTTGGAATTAAATGCTTTCAACTCATTGGCCCCAAACTACCAAAGCTTGAGTAAATTGTTTCTAGCTCTATCAGATCTGCTTTGCTGTAGCTGGATCTATGGACACATCTTAGTGGTCCTTTGTAATGTGGAATGGTTTACTTTAAAGTTATAAAAATGGTGGATTCAATATAAAGAAATCTTCTGCCCAAGGAATTTACAGTCTCTAATGTTTTCAAAGATGGCTTCTAACTACTTACCAGGAATTCTGCAGATATAATCCACAACAACTACAACTTTATGTATGTGCTTTTTATGTTCACACAATATTCGAGGTAGTTAACTGCCTGGCAGGTGCAAATAAATATTTAAGCTTGTAAACCAGGCAGAACTTCAAACAGATCTGTACTCATAATTAACCACATTCCCAAAACCGAAGGATATGATTTAGACGATGGATTCAAACCCTTTGAAATCTTGGACTTTATAATTTAGCAGTCCAGGAAAGACACAACCAGCTGTTCATCTTCTATCAGTACATGTGCAAAACTGATGTGCACCAGTTTTCTTAGTGCTCTGTTTATGAAGCTGTCAAGTTATATGGCTGATGGGATCTGAACAGTTCCCAACTCCCCTCACCCTTTCTATCCTCACACTCATATTTTCAAAGGAGGGCTCATCTCTTGTGGCAGCGCACCCCAGAACTTCAAAAAAGAGAAATAAAACTTGTAACCTAAATTAGCTAGATTTCAAAACTTTTTTTTATTTTTGTACCAGAAAAAAAAAAGCAGGCAAATACACACTTTTTTTTCTCCTACTGTGAAACATACTGTGAAGAAAGCTTAGACCACTATTCCCTTTCCACTTCCTCTTTTTTAATGCTACCATCAATAGTATCAGGTAACATTAATGAAAAATTTCTCTCTCCAATGACACACAGTACAAGCTATGAAAACCCAAACAATAATTTAGAAAAATGCAATAAAATTGTTATTTTTTTAAAAAAAAACACCTCAAAATTCAAATGCACTTCTATTTCCTGCATATTTATACAGCTTTCAGTATCACAGTATCACAACATCTCATTGCCTTTAAAGCATGTGTCTCCACAACAACTTTGTTTAGAAGTGGGTTTCACTAAGATATCAAGTGAGATTACTAGTCAAGGCCACTTAGGAATCTCTAGCAAACTAGTTAACTAAACTCATAACTTAGTTTCAAACAAAAAAATATTAAAAGCACACAATCATACAGACACTTCTTAAAGTATTACCTTGGTGGTGTTAACATTTTCTTTCGGTATATAATACCCAAACACTAAATCAGACAGAACAACCAAAAGTATAACAGACTATAAAGGGTAATGGAGTTAAGTGGTATGGTTTTTCCCCGAAAGTTGAATGCAATGCAGAAAGTAAATGAACAGTAAATTAGATTCTAAACATTCTTTCAATTAAAATAACCTCAAGTTTCATTTAAAGAAATGCTTTCAGGCATTATTAAGATCATAATCTGCAAGTACATTTTAGAATTTGTTTCTAGTTCCACTGATTATCCACAACCTACGTAAGTCCCTAGACAGTACAGCACAGAGAAGTTCCACTTAGGCCATGATGATTACAAGAATATTTGAGTATTTTCAAGAAAAAGCCTTCCAGTCATTAAGACACTTTTAATTGCTATCAGGTATATAACAGGTTGCAGCACTACACTGGTGCCATGAAATGAAGTTTTTAGTAATACTTTTCAGTATACATACTTGTTAAATAGGACACAGGCTTAGCTTCCAAAACTACCTTAGGCTGTGGGTTAGCTTCATCCAGACTCCAGTAATCAGCTGTATTTATCAGTAGAAGTCTCTGAGCAGGACAGGTTGCAACAGCGTGCTGCAAACACGTCAGATTTAGCTGCTGTGGCAAAGTGCTAAGTAGTGTCAGAAAAGTTTCATCCGGAGTAAGATTTGATGGGCCTATAGGCATCTGCTCCAGCTTCCGGGAGAGTGACCCAGAAACATGTGTTAGCCTCTCCCAAGCTGAGATACGGCAGGCTTCCTCATAAGCAGTTCTCTTGCTTCAAAAATTTACAGAGTGATGGTTAAATATGGTAGCAACTCCACCAGGACATGTCAGACATAGCACGCCACCTTTGATGTTCTGTATGAGGACTGTTACATTCAGGAGTAGCTTCAAACAGTACCTTCCTCTCTAATTCACAGATCCTTTTCTGAGCCAACATGCAGGTCGCTTTTTCCTTCACCATATACCTGGTGCAAGGAAGCAACCCACAATACATAGCTCTGCCTCAGCAACCATCAAGCTACCTGTGTCCCATAGGCTCTCTGCACAGCAGCAGTCTCTTGGTGACAGTATTTATCATCACATTTGGTGGAAATGCTGGCTTAAGGCACTCTCTCCCTTTTATGTCTGCTTTTTCTTCCTTGTCATACATTGTCCTCAACTGTACTGATACAAAACTGATTATGAGACCGAGCTGTAAATCGGACCATGGGACTGATCCACATTAAAAGTGATCAGTTCAGTGATCTTTTCCACAGTACAGCCTAAAAATCTGTGGTGACTGCATAACTGCACAGGTAGGGCACTGTGGAAAGAACTTACTACTGTCAAAGCTGTCATTTCAATGTTTCTGAACTACAGTCTCAGATGTGATCTGTTGACAAAACAGTCTAGAATTGCAGTTAAAGTTCTGAGTTGCACTATAGGCTTGATGAGATAAGCTGAGACATTGATTGCTTTTTCATATATAAATAAAAAAATAACACGAAGCTATAGACAGTTATAGAACTTTTTTTTTTTTTAAAGTAGATTATGGTGAAAGGACTGGAAGGACTCTCATTTCTGTACTGGAATGTTTTCAGGAAAAGGCTGAAACCCAAACTACCCCATTTTATTTTTTCTGCATTAATTATGATTTATATAAATTTCAGTCATGGTTTGATTTATACAGAAACTCATTACTGGTAGATAGGACAAAAAAAGGTTCTTACTATCAAGACACACCAATGACTATTCAGGCACTGGCAACTTGCTGTCACTTAAAGAATGAAAGATACTAACTTGCTTAACTAAATGATGCTTTGTTTCCTACTAAATGAATGAGGAATTAAATAATGCTGAGCCACATGAAGCAAACACTTTGCTCTGAATCGATACAACCATTTTAGTCTCCAACTCCAGAAGAAAGCACTGCTTAAAAATAAAACCCAAACAAAAAACAACCCCAAACAAAAACCCCACACATTCAAAAGCAAGCTATTTCGGTGGTTCAAAGGCTTCACAAACATTACCATGTTTGTGAGAAGAAAAGGCCACATAGATTTTTTTTTTTTTCTTTTTAAATGAACACACTGAAACAAACAAACAGGAGAAGCACCTTTCACTCCCTTCCCTATCAATGCTAAGTTGTTGATAAAATAACAAAGCTGGCTTTCTTATGATGGCAATATGTTAAAAGTACTTTATAAAAATACAATCAATGTAAGTGATAACGGATTTTAGTTCTTAATTAATGCAACACCTGCAGTGCTGCTGTTAGAACAGTTGATGGGGAATCAGAAAGGAAAAGTTCAGGGTATACTATTTTTCCTTATTTTAAGGAAGAAAGAATTACTTTTAAAACAGTCTTGAAAAAGAGAGCCCCACTAAAATGCAACAGCAAAAGCAGAAAATTGTGTAGATTCAGAACTAGCTACGTGAAATAAGGCTGGGGTTTTTTGTTTCATGCTTTAAAGGGTGTCTGAAGTTGCTTATCTATGCAGACAGGAAGGTCAATCCAATAGATTGAGCAGTAGTTGGCAACTAAAATTAAACACTCATAGTAGCACAGAACAGCCCAGGTCAGAAGGAACCTTGAAAGAACACCTGGTCAAACCTTTCATGGGACACAGAGCAGAGATGAGATCTAGCACCCTGTCCAGTTGCATCCTAAAAACCTCCAGTGATGGGGACTCTATCACGTTCCTGAGGAGGTTGCTCCAATGAATGGTTATTCTCACTGTAAAAAACTTCCTTCTTATATAGAGAGAAAACCTCTCTCTTGATACAACTTGTACCCATTTTCCCTTGTCTTGTCCATGTGGCACCTTGTGAAGACAGTCTCCATCCTCTTGTTCACTCTGTGACCTCTATCTGCTCTGTTTCACCAAAAACTTCCTGCATTACCATGGGCAAGTTGATCTCCGTGCTAGCGTCTCATGCATAAATGAAGAAAAGGCAACAGGATTTCCCTAACAGAAAGGTATTATGAAACGCTCATGTACAGCAACAAAGGTCATATAAGTAACTCAAGTTAATAGTTGTAAAAATAAGTATATAAACACACACCTATACACTCTGTACAGGTGGTATTTTGCCCCACACATTTATCCATACTGTTGATGCAAGTCTGTGGTATACCTGAATGTATCTGGTGACATGGAAACAGACTGGACTGTCACACAGGACCTGATTTGATTAGGCTTTAACCATACCTTAAGTCACCTGTGCAGCTGTTTGAAGATTCTTAAATCTGATCTTCAGGTGTCACTGTGTCTTCCTTTAAGTAAGGACAACTAATGACTGTTGACTTAACTGAGTTTTATCCATAATAAAAATCCCACTTAAGTTTTTAAACAAACAGATATCACAATTAGGTAACAACATATTAGTTTTTATTTCCATAACATCACGTACTCAGTTTAACAAAGGTAAAAGGAAGAAAGTACACACACAAGTGTACCCATGTTCTAAACTGGTTGATGATCAATTCAGTGGCAATGTATTTAAGCCATAGTACCCATCTGTACCACAGCATTTATCTCAATTTTTATCTCGAGAACTGCAGTTTTCCTTTCATAGGGTTTAGCCTACTAACTCTACTCGGCTTTTGAAAGGAACACAGTTCCTACTTTTGTATAGTCAGTACTGACAAGAAAGAAATGTACACATTTACATTGTAACTAAGAGTGAAGTGAGGGAGCTACAGTCCTTGACATTGGACCTGTCTGCTTCAGCTTACTTACACCAGCAGTAGAAGTTCTACCTGGAGTAAGTTTTGAAGGAAATAGGGACCTATGTTTACATCAGCTGTGCACACAATCCACTGCTGCATGACCCGATAGCTGGCCTTCTGTATGAGTTTTTTTGTTACTAATGTAAAAAATAAACCTATTAATTGTTTAAAACACTTCAGAGAGGGAACCAAATAAAAAACCCACCGATAACATTGTATTTTACTATATACTTAGACATAGAGTCATGCACACACATCCAGCAGTATATCTGGTTTTATCCATGAGCACTAAATATCTGATAGGAAAACAGACATATTACTTGTTATTAAACTACAGCTTAATTCCATCAGTGCTTTCTCACATGTAAAAAACCCAAGCAAACAAAACTCCCCCTGTGCTGCAAATTACTTCAAGTATATAATTAAATCCCTTTTCCCTTTGTGTTCTGACCTTTGACTTAACATACTTTGTTGCTTCAAGCAATAGTTCAGCAAGACTATTCTCAATTACATTTCAGTAACAGCCACAGCACCACATCCTTCGCTATCATTCACAGAAAATTGTTCCTTTATTTATAAATGAAATTATACTTCCACTAACATTTAGGTTTGAGCAAAATCTTTTCAGTTTTTTTCAGTTCAGTTTGATTCCTAAGTTACCTCCAGTAATTATTCCACAGTGTAGTAGCAGAAAATAGTATTTGAAAGCCTGTTGATGTCTGGGGAAGTGACTGCTTATACATTGAAATTAATTAAGCATTCATATTTTCAGAAAAACTAGTCCTAAGAATCAGGACTATCAGATTGTAAACAAAACCAGTTAAATTAAAACCATAACTTGAATAGTGTACTATTGCAAACTATAACCTTTTAGTTACCTAATAGGTTACACCTATTTTAGTTTAGCATTTCTTTATTAAATTGAAAGAAAAGTGAGGGCATTAGTTTTTATGCTTTTGGTTTTTTATGTGCCAACTAGATAAGTAGGCTACATCAATGCTTTAGTATGACCACTGTTAAAAGTGTCATATTTACAAGTGCCTGTATAAATTAAAATACCCGCTAGAACCTTTCAGTCCTCAAATGTAAGGCCTATCTGAAAAAACCCAAAACATCCAAACAAAACAACATCCATCCCATTAGTCATCTTCAAATCTCTACTTCAACAGCACTGTTTGTATGATTAAACCTTAACTAATACTGCCTAACACAGAATGCAATTTTCACTAAAGTGTGAAACTTAAGTATTTCTCTTAATGCACTGAACACTAGCTGCAGGGGGTGGAGAGAGAGGGAAAACATGTCACTCAATTTCAGTAAATCTCTTCAAAACACCCACAAACCACAATACTTAACTTGTGATTTTTTTTCAGAGCCGAATATAGTAAAAAATACAAAGCCACAAACTGAAAGCGTCTTTTTCCCTGTTGTTTAAACACACAAACACATCAGATGTAATGTTTCGTGTTAAAAAATTTTCGTAAAATGACATTTCAAATTCCCCCTTGGATCTACAAAACATACCTGCCTAAAAAAGCAACCCTGAAAATTAAACTTCCCTCCTCCTAAATAATACCCCTAATTCTGTATTTATCATCCTTTTTACATTACCAGTAAGAGTACAAAACAGAGTTTGCCCTTCCGCATGCAAAGGCACTGGGCAGGACAGCTACTTCTCTCTTGCTTTATGACCCCACCTATCAGGTAGCAATCAGACCACACAGTTATGTCTGGCCACAGTTTTACACTCTAACAATGGACAAGATGTCCAAGGTATAGTAACTGGACTCTGAAGAAATTATGCTTATACATGAGACTTGACGAGGCTACTCACCCATGATGATACTAGCTTGCACCCTCTCTTTTTTGCCTGACCTTCTTCAGAACTCTAGCATGACACATCTGCTCCCCCAAAACATCCAGTCTCTCCATGACTCAAAACTCATTTTATTATCTCTCTCACCTCCACTGATCAAGTTAGTGAATCCCACCATATCCCTCCCTCCCTCTGGTTTCAGCTATACCTTCCTTTACTGTTCTCTAACCTTGCTCATATACAGCACTTACTTTCTCTGTGCTGAAAGCAACAAAGATCCCCCTTGACTTGCATTTAGACTTGGAATTTTGCTAGAAATTTTGTCAAGTTAAGTTTCTAGTTCTACTGAATCCAAGTCCATAACCTCAGTCACCATTCATCTCCATCGATTCATTTCTGCACTCCTAAAAAAACTGCCAATTTCAAAACTCAGGAGGATTTTCTTTTGGAAGAGATACAATTGTTCTAAAAGAAGAAAAATATTAAGAGGTTCTCCTCCCCCTCTACTCTGCCCTGGTGAGGCCACGTCTGGAATATTGTGTCCAGTTCTGGGCCCCACAGTTCAGGAAGGACATGGAACTGCTTGAGAGAGTCCAGCACAGAGCCACCAAGATGATTAAGGGAGTGGAGCATCTCCCTTATGAGGAAAGGCTGAGGGAGCTGGGTCTCTTCAGTTTGGAGAAGAGGAGACTGAGGGGAGACCTCATTAATGTTTATAAATATGTGAAGGGCAAATGTCATGAGGATGGAGCCAGGCTCTTCTCAGTGATGCCCAATGGTAGGACAAGGGGCAATGGGTGTGAGCTGGAACACAGAAGGTTCCGCTTAAATTTCAGAAGGAACTTCTTTACAGTGAGGGTGACAGAGCACTGGGACAGGCTGCCCAGGGAGGTTGTGGAGTCTCCTTCTCTGGAGACATTCAAGACCCACCTGGACGCCTTTCTGTGTGATCTCATTTAGGTTCCTGCTCCACAGGGGGATTGGACTAGATGATCTTTCGAGGTCCCTTCCAATCCCCAACATTCTGTGATTCTGTGACTTCCTTCTCCATGATATTAACAAGGACTTCCTACTGATTGACTTCTTGATCATCTGCTTTCTACATATTACCATGTGTTTTTCTGGCCTCAACCTTCTCAATTACTTTACACGGCATAAAGATTTGGATTAGGTTTACAGCATTTTTGATAGGTTGTAAAACAAAGCAATTGAGCTTGAATCTAGTTTCCCAAAGCACTCCAACCACTGAGCTAGTGAAAACAGAACAATCACCCATCTCCCAGCTGTTTCAAGGAAATATCTCAGTTCTCCCTTGAATCCTATTCTGTATTTATGTGCTTATACCCTTATTTTTATTACAAATTATTCTGTTAAGACAAATTTTTGTAAATAAAATATTTTAAAATTGTCTATAGTGGTAGTTTCACTTAAGAGGCACTGAAACAGGTTGCCCAGAGAAGCTATGGATGCCCCATCCCTGGAGGCATTCAAGGCCAGGTTGGATGGAGCCCTGGGCAGCCCGATCTACTGGTTGGCAACTCTGTCCACAGCAGGGGGGTTGGAACTAGATGATCTTTAAGGTCATTTCCAACCCAAGCCATTCTATGATCCTATGAAAGTCAGCACTGTAAAAATGAAGCACCCCACATTTCAGTGGTCTGTACCAATCACTATTTTCCATACTCTCCTCTACACAGTGAGGTTATTCAGTCTTAATTCCCTGTAGGTTTTTTTCCCCCCTTTATGGTACTAACTCATCTTTAAAAAAAAATAAAAAAAATTGAGAGCCCATACCAAGATCCTCCAATGCCACTTTATTAATGGCATAATAATTTTTCTGAACTGAGCATTTTATATAGAGAGAACCAGCAAACATGACACCTGGAAAACTGTGAAAGGTTCAAACACCAAAATAACAAAAAAATATTTCCACATAAATACAGATACCTATTATTTTAATAACATACATAAATGCACTTACTGGAAACAAAATAAATTTAAGAAAGCATGATTTGCTTACCTTTGACAGTTCCATTCCAGGTCCACACTGTTTGCAGAGGATACAGTTTCCAGCGTGGTCCCTAAATTCCTGCTCTCTGCAATCTCCAGTCTCACAAATTACCCTACTTAGCTAAAAGGAAAAAAAAAAAAAAAAACCAACAAACAAAACCTCACAAATTATGGTTAAGTGGCTGGAATTTGAAAGGTTCTCAGTACTGAGTGACTTGCAATAATTTTACAATTTTTAGAAGACCTGCTTGATATTTGGCACTTGTGTTCAAACAAAACAATTGTTTGAACATGAGTTTGAGTTCCTCACCTTACTCACCATGATGAAAAATGCATGTGACCATTTACTAAAGCTACAATTTTCATTACAGTAAGCTATGTCGCATTACATTATACTGCCATGTTTCATTCATGAAGACAGGCTGAAAGAGTTGGGGCTGTTCAGCCTGAAAAAGAGAAGGCTCCGGGGAGATCTTATAGCAGCCTTCCAATACCTGAAGGGGCCTACAGGAAAGCTGGGGAGGGACTTTTCATAAGGGCAACTAATGACAAGACAAGGGGAAATGGGTTTAAACTGAAAGAGGGGAGGTTTAGATTAGATATTCAGAAGAAGTTCTTCACTGTGAGGGTGGTCAGACACTGGAACAGGTTGCCCAAGGAAGTTGTTGATGCCCCCTCCCTGGAAGTGTTTAAGACCAGGCTGGATGAGGCTTTGAGCAACCTGATCTAGTGGAGGATGTCCCTGCTGAAGGCGGGGGGATTGGAACTAGATGATCTTTAAGGTCCCTTCCAATCCAAACCATTCTATGATTCTATGATTTATTTGTGATTTTTAATTTTTTTAATGATGCTACTACAATTGAATAGATAAACTAAAATCTATTCCTTTAAACAGAAATATTTAGAGATTTTTAAAGGTCACTCAAACCTTTAGGAAACTTAAAAAGCACCCCAAACCTGTATGAATATTATTTATTCTAAATTTCACTATCACTTTATATTTAATGGGCCCAACGAGAGAGAATGCAATTTCTGCCTTCAAAGGCATTTAAGCACATTATCTGACCAAACCAGAAACTAAGGTTACGAGAAATACCATAAGCAGTAGTATCAGCCATGCCAAGTCTCAGCACAGTCAGTGCAATCCTACCCAGGAACATTAGCAAACCCTGTGAGTTCCATCAACAGACTTTTACATTAAATGCCTACATACAGGCTTCCTTCAGAGAAGGTGCTGTGCACAACTGCTACTAAATTCTTACTCTGTGTATTAGTCTCTTCAGAAAGACCAAAGTCTTTCTGATAGCTATGAAGAGCTAATTACCCTGAGTTCTAGAGCCTGCCTCTGCAAGCCACAGTTGAAGCACACTGAGTAGGCAATGTAATTGTACGCTACCCTATGGTCTGCGGATAAAATGAATACTCCAGACACCTAAATTATATATATTAGTATGCTGTACCAAGAGATGGCCACTGCAAATTGCCTAGAATTCTGCCATCTCTCTGGAGTGAAGCACTATCATCTTCACAGCACTGCATTAACTTATATTTTCTGTCCCACTCCAGTCCTTCTTCCATTAAGAGGCTCAAAAAGTAAAATTTTATAATTGCACGTGAGGGGTGGCAAGAAATTATACAAATCAGCTGACCAAGCTGACTTCTAAATTGATAAAATGCATACGTAATTGTCTACATGTATGTGTTTAAGACTTTTACTGTTAGCAATAATGTGTAAAAAAAAAAAAAAAGACAACATTCCTGTGTCCAACACAATTTTTTCAACATTTATTCTGGAAGGGAAAAAAAACCCAAAAACTTACCAAATATGCAAGTAAGATTATGAGCATCTTCAGTTTATCTTCTCCTTGTAATCCTTTAGTGTCCATTTCTTATAATTAAACCTTTCTCCCTTGGGGGGAAAGAAAATAAATTACATTTCACAAGGTTGTTTAAATTGCAAGAGTCATACATCCATAGTACTTGATGTCATTCAGCATGTCAAAATGGGTAGCTGTTAATGTCATAAAATATTTTAGATGGATTCCTGGAAGCTAAAGAACAAATACATGCTTTAAAAGTCATGTTCTTTTTTAGAAGACAAGGCAATATATACAAAGTTTCTATAGCCTTTATTCTCAAAAGGAGACTGCTATCAGTCTAGATTAAAGAACATCAACATCTGTAAATCTAACATTCCTAACACAACTTTCGTGTTTGTTAGATGCCCAAGTACCTGATCAATAGAAAAAAATCAGTTTCTTCAAATATGCCGCATATCAGCCAAGACATAACTGATCACAAGAACGTTCCTTCTGTGTTGCAATGTGGAACAGAATGGGTTTGCCTAGTGGTTAAGATAACCTGCTTCATTCTGCAATGAACTGGATACATACTCAGGACCTGTTTCTACCACTTACCTAAGGGATGTTAACTTAAGATATGTTGACATGATTGTTTATGATCCGGTAGGCAAAGACTATTACAGAAGACATCAAACTGCATAACCAAATCACATCCCACCTCAGACAATTTTTATCATAATCTCAGAAAAAGAGGAAAGAACAGTCCATAAAGCCTTGCTTAATTATTTTTTAGGAAGTGCTAATAAACAAATGACAAAAAAAAAAAAAGCAAGAGGAACTATTTGCAACCATCATGGAAAGGAAGTTCTAATCTGGGATTAGTTTTTTTGAATTATTAAATCAAACTGCACCCTCACAATCATTAATTGCAATTTAGCAACAATAACAAGAAAAGAATAAATAAATCCTGCTTACATAACATGCTATTTGAATTTAATCCTAATTTGCATACCTTATGTCAGCAATATAATGTCATTGTTTTCAGCTAGATGTGAAAAATAATGTTTAAAACATTTCTGGCCTACTTCAAAGCCTAAGGACTGATGCTTAATTGCACTGTTTCAAAAGACAAAATAAGTAATTATTATCATTTGAGAGTAGAACAGATTGACAAATGAAAGGATGGAACACAAAACATAAGGAAAGTAGTATAGAAAAAGATTAAGAACAGTTGCAAAATGCTTTACAATATGGAACTATAACAAGCATAATACAGTTCAAAAATATACAGCCACAATAAGCATAAGCTATAATTAGCATACAATTTTACATTTTACTGCATGAATACCCTAATTAACAAATTCTAATCAATAAGAAGAAAATATACTTCAGTGGCACTATTAATACCTTAAGATAACTGCAATCTGAAGTGTAAAAAGAGCTGAAGTCTGCTAGGAAGAACAGAACAAGCACAGAGGTACGTCAGGCAGCTCTCTACAGGAAAGCCAAGATTACATTTTTATGGTTATTTCTCACTTAGCGATGGTAATGGTCTGTGGGCCAACAACAATTATCAGATTATATGCATGTCAACATGGGTAAAAAAGAAGGCACACCATCAAATAATACAAATACATACAGATATAGTATTGGACATCGGTTGCTTTTTTCAGTCTGAGGAAAAAAAAAAAAATAAGCAGAGAAAGATGAAATGGGAAATCTCAGAAAGAATTCTGGATGACCCAAATAAAACAATTTGGTGTAAAAAGTACTGTAGAAAAAATGGAAAAATGGAAAGAATAGTAATACAATAAACAACTCTACACAATATTACAGAAAAGCGCCCTGCAAAACAAGCTTAACTTCACTTGGTTCAGAGAAGACAAGCCAATAAAGCTAAAAGTCTAAAAGCTGAATGATATAAACTGATTAAATATTAATGCAAAGGATCATGCTGAAATGAAAGGGTTTTGGAAGAAAAATCCTCATTGACTTACTGATTTCATATAATGGTTGGCAGTGGAAAAAATTAAATACTTGATATGCTTTCTTAATTGCTATAGAAGGCAAAATTTAACCTAAGTGTGCAAGTGAAATAAAGCTGTAAATGTAACTGAGTTGCTTAGAACTGAATGTCAAGTGATTATTCCAAGTCATATGAATTTACAGTCACTATATTCCTTAATAATACTACTGTTAAAGAAATAAAACATAGCACAGTTCTAATGTAACTATGTCCATCTATATAACACTACTAAAATTTTTTAAATGGGATTCTTTATAAGGTTAAAAGTATGTTTTATTTTAAATTTCAATATTTACTTTTGATTCTGAAAATAGATGTGTGACATATCAAAAAGAAATTGAATATCATAATAATCGTATATTTTTATGTCACGTTTCACATAGAATTAGTGATACAAACAATACTGGTGAGCTATGCTAAGCCTAATGATCTAAAATATGGAGCTGTGGCATAATCCAAATTGTGAATTTTTTCTGAGCAGGTCACCTAAGTACAGAAAAATAAAGAAAATTAAGAACAGCCTGATTAACTGGCCAGCAGATTCAGTACTTGCCATATTATTGCAATAAAACTTTATTAGCTTTATGCAATGAAGCAACATTCATCCTATACATTTCTTCCAATATGCAATAACCTGAATATCCAATATTGTAAAAGTGTTAGCATATGAACAATTTATTAAAATCGATACCGAAACAAAGGTAATGATGTATTTTTATGTTTGCAATATTCTGGAGTCATAACTGGATTAAAAACCAAATGGCAGTTCTTCACACAAGGTAGTATAGAAAAACAACCAGTATTAAAGTGTTGCTGGTCACGCTGACAGCTCGTATTTCAGTTTTGGGGTTGCTATATCTGTTATAAAATAATCTTCTTATAGGATGTACCTCAAAGACTTTTAGAACATAGAACACATATGGAGAAGCACACTGTACTAAAACACACTTTGTTGACTTAGGTGAGGAAATTTTATTGCACCTATGAAACATTTTCTATTTCAAAGAAAATCCACTGCCTTTAACACTCTTGCCAAATCCAACACCTTCAAACATCAGGAGTTCCAAAACCCAGAGTAAATTTCCAAAATCAAGTGTTTTAGAACTGGCATCAAACTATCATGGACTTCTCCAACTCATCTACACATTTTACCGAGCTTCACATTTGTGGACTGATCACTATGCATATGATGCAATTCCATAGCTTTAGGTCTATGATATAATACGAGATATCTTTTAGGTAATTTGTCTTTTATAATCATCAAATCTTCCAAAATAAGCTTGCAGGTATATGGGTCTTAAACTTCAGTGCACTTCAGTAGGTTCAG